GTGAAAAGCGGGGTATAAAAACACAGCTCTTCTTCTTCAGCAGCACGCGACTTGATAACTGAAAGACTGCCTCCCCCTTTATTGACCCATCTGCCAATTATAATAAGCATTCCAAGGCATTCTGAAGGAAGAAGTATGACAGAGAGGTATGTGTAGTGCCTAATTTTCAGCACCAGGTAAAAAAAAAGTAGATGTTTATTTGCCCAGGCTTTCTGTTAGTGCTTTCTTGATGGCCCTCCCTGAAATGTTTTTTTAAATTATTCATTGTTTATTTATTACTTACATTATTTATGTTCACCTTTCTCACTGGGACCCAAGGGGGATAACACAGAGTAAGTCAATATAATCAACAAAATGGGACATTCAGTAAACTGTTGGGTACCCTGGCTTACTATAACTTCTGCTGGTTTTTATATCTGAGATTTTTTCTACCAGTTGCTTATTTTGCTTTTGATGCTCAGTTTTTTTAGAAACTTAACCTTACTGACTGTAGGCTGCCATGAGCAAACTTTATAGAGACTTGCAAGTTTTTTAAATATAGAAGTAAATTGTAGGCGAGGGCTGAGCAAACATAGCTCTTGGAAAGCAAGAGCCAGAGGTTGTTTAAGCCTGCAGGCTATGAGAAGAAAGAGGGCCTTGGAATGAGAGTTGCCAGGTTCCCTCACCCCCCCCCAGCCACTGGTTGGGGATGGGGAGGTAGGGTGGCCAGATCCAGGTTGGGAAACTCCTGGATGGAGCCCGGGGAAGACAGGGACCTCAGAGGCACAGAGTGCCAAAGACTCCACCCCGCCAAGCAGCCATTCCTCCAGGGGAACGGATCTCTGTAGTCTGGAGATGTAATTCTGGGGGGTCCCCAGGTCCCACCTGGAGGCTGGCATCCCTCCTTGGAAATGAAGGTGGAGACCTTGGACAGGAAATTGCCCAACAGAATGAGTGGAAGAGGGGGCTAAGAGAAGGAAGAAGATGAGAACTGGGAGAGGAATAGCAGCACACAGACAGAGCCGGCAGAAGTAGGGCAGGCCCCCAAAGCATCACTATCAGAAGGGGAAAACCATCGAAAAAAGAGTGGCTGAATTTTATGAAGACAGTGTTTTGAACAGAGAATCCATGTTTCTGACACCAGTTGCCCCAGCTCAGGAAGAAGCTCCAGCAGACTTCCCCCACAACAATAGAAGAAGAAGAAGGAGAAGAAAAGAGATTAGATTTATACCTGCCCTTCACTTGGAGTATCAGTGTGGCTTACAAACTCCTTTCCCTTCCCCTAACCACAACAGACACCCTGTGAGGTAGGTGGGGCTGAGAGAGCTCTGAGAGAACTGTCGAGAGAACAGCTCTGAAAGAACTTATGACTGACCCAAGGTCACACCAGCAGCTGCAAGTGGAGGAGTGGAGAATCAAATCTGATTCTCCCAGATTAGAGTCCATGCACTTAACTACTACACCAAACTGGCAGATGAAAATTTATCTAATTATTGTAATTAAAACAGATGCCTGTTTCTGTACCAATTGTCAAAATGGCAGAAAAGAAACAAACAACTCAGAAACACGCACGGAAAAGCAATCATGCGCCAAACGCTCACAACAACAACACGGGGAAATAAGAAGAAATGAAAGGAGGGCCAGCTGTCAATCCCTGTTAGAAAGTTGTGCTGTCCATTGTAGACACGTGTTTGAGAAGGATGATCTACGATTTGGAAAAAACTCCACAGATCTCGGAGCAGAGGGAGGAGATGGCAGTGCACGCTCTTGGCTTCCCTGCTGAAATGCCCATAAAGCCCAATTAGGTTTATAACTTTGCATTAAATTAAATATGTTATTTTACACAAGCACTTACAAAAGACTCCTAAGTATCCAATAACCGTTTCCTTTATTCCCTTGTTAGCAGCTGACACTTTGGCGGTGCTCAGGCGCGTGCCAAGTTGATTTAGGGCATTGATTTTCAGCTGGCACACGTCCCTCCGTCCTCAAACACTACTGATTAGCTTAGCAGGAAAACAGCACTTACTTTGTATTGTCTTCCAGATTCTGCTCCACTCCCTTTGGAGGGTGTCTGCGGCAGCAGCTGGCTGGGAGAGACCTTGTGATTGAGCAGCCTATGTTTTCCCTTACAGAGAAGGCGTCAAATCAGGAGTTGGCCCAGTATGAATGGCAAATCCAACACAAACTGGTTCCAATTGGAAAGACACAGTGCTCCAGTGACCCTATTCGGGTTGTCAGGTCCGGATCTGGAAGTGACTTTAACATCTGAAAGGTGCAATAGACTTCTTTAGCTTGGATATGAGATCCCTAATGCGGTCACTGGAGCACTGCGTTTGGACCAAATTGTGTTGGAGTCCCCCTTTCAGGAGATGAGGCTTTGCAGTGCTTCAGCAAGAGGAGAAGCTGCACCGAATACAGGTGTCTTCTTCGGTTTTGGGCACTGCCATCCTAAGCCAGACACACCAGATCTACCAGCACTGGGGTCTTCTCCTTGCAACCCTCCCACTATGATCTTGTACTGCTTTCCTCTCTGCTAATATCCACCTTTTCCCACGTGAGTCTTGCACCATCTATGATTGGTCATTTCCTGACTCCATCTCTGTTTTAGAATAGAATCTAGTCCACCCAGTGCACAATGCAGGGAAATAAATACCTCCCCCCATACCTCCAGTGACCCCTGTTCCATGCCTAGAAGATGACAAAAAACCTCCAGGATCTCTAGCCAAACTGGCCTGGAGAACAATTGCTTCCCAACCCCAAAGTGGCGATCAGCATTTCCCTGGGTGTGTAAGAAAGGGCCACGAGAACCAAGCATTGATGCAACCCTTCCTGCCCTCCCTCTCATGATCTGCCTATGTTCACAGAATCTGCATTGCTGTCAGATGGCCATCTAGCCTCTCTTTGAAAACCTCCAAAGAAGGAGAGCCCACCATTTCCCGAGGACGCCTGTTCCACTGAGGAACCGCCCTCATCTGTCAGGAAGTTCTGCCAGATGTTTAGCCAAAAGCTCTTTTGATTTAATTTCAGCCCGTTGGTTCTGGTCCGACCTTCTGGGGCAGAGACCCTTGGAGTAAAGCACAGGTATTCAAAGCTACTGGCAATACTTGCCTGTAGCTCTCTGCAGCCACTACCTGTGCGATCCCACGACATGTAGGGCTGGTCCAGGACATAGGAAGAGCTATTGCATGCACATGGAAAGATCAAACTTTGGTTCTGTCTACTTATTTACTTTGATCCTATTACTGATTAGAGCATTTGTGGCTACTCAAGGCAGTTTACATTTTTTTTAAAAGCAAAACAATAAAAGGTGGAGGGGTTTGTCTCTTCTGCTGAAGCCAGACATAGTGGCGGGGTGTCAAGTCTGCCTCCCTCTGATGCTTCACTAATTAATCATCCTGTTCTACCAAATAATAAACACTTCGTACCTATAACGTTTTTAGAAATGCAAAAGCCAATACGAAAGGATTGTTTCATCCATTTGACCAACAGCCTCCATATGCAGAGGGCAGCCAACCTCTGAACACCAGTGCTGGGAGGCGGCAGCAGAGGAGGGCTTTGGCCTCTAGGCCCTGATTGTTTGGTCCTGCAGGGCAACTGGTTGGCCACAGTGTGGAACAGAAGGCTGGGCTAACGGACCACTGGTCTGATCCAGCAGACTCTAGTTATGCACTTATGTTCTTATTCACTTCTTAAACGACACCAGACTTGGACTTTTTGTTCCGCTTCCCTGCTTCTCAGCCAAGGGATCCACGGCAAAGATCCTCTGGCAGAATCAAACCCACAAACGATACTTTCAGTCTTCCATGTTGCTCCCCTTAACAGGCTGGTGCTAATCCACTTACCGTACCGATCATTATTGTAATTATACAGTTACTGATCCTATTCACTAAGGCACGGCTAAGCTTCCAAGTACATTGATTAAAATATGTGAGATTCTTATACACGGCAAAGCCAGCTTCAGCATTAGTGCCAAGGAGCTCCTTTTCTGCCAAATAATTTTTAAAAAGCAGGGATACCGGCCAAAACCCAGAAAACTACCTGCGCTTGTGACAACATAATGCTGAGCTCCATTATCACAATACCCTGGGAACGGGCAGGTCCAGGAGACAGACTGAATGAAGACCAGGCTGGGGCTGCGAGGGCTGCACCCAACTCTAGACCTGGGCATGTCTTCTGCAACTCAAGGGTCCCCGAGTCAGCTAATTCACTGGGCTAAGTTCTAGCACCAGAACCCTGAGGTTCTCCATGTGTGGTGAACAGTATGGCTATGATTACACACATTTGTAGATACTGTGATGGATCCAGCCAGCCTTTCAGCTCAGTGTTGGCTAATTCCCCTCCTTATTACAGCTCCTGTCCCACATTGCTTTTGTTCACAGAGGTTCCATGATCCCCCGCACAGCCTTTTTTTTGGGGGGGGGGCAACAGAGACTCTTTTTCACCGGTTGAAAAGTTGGCTGGAATCAACCCGCCATATGGTATACGGTATATAGTGGTATATGGAAGTACGACCCCCCAGGACTGCTATTCAGTGTGACCATCGCCAGGTCCTGCCCCAGGACACCACCAGGTCCCCTTGCCAGGCTCTATTCACCTGGCTCCACCCCATGACTCTCCAGGGTTTGAGACGATGGGACCTGCAAACCCTAATTTGGCTTCAAGACCAGAGTTTTATCCCCGATGTGTGAGAATGGCTCTTAAGCCTGTCAAAAGAGTGCTCTTGTTCATTTCCACAGGGTTCGTGCGGCACGTTGAGTGCAAAGGAAGGTCATTCCATGAACTCTCCTTTAGGGAACTCTGCTGACAAAGTCTTTCCTCCAACAATTTAATGTGAATGATACTATCTCTGACCCTTTTGTGTAGATTTGTCCTTCTGCCGTATGCCGTTGTCAGTGGGTGAGATCCAGCAGGCTGGTTCCGTTGATAAAAGCGTGGCACAGGGGACGGCTGCTAAAAGACGGCTTTCTTTTAGAAGGCCTGTACTGCCTTGGTTGCTATTATGAAGAGTGGGTCGTGGTTACCAAAGTCTGTGTCCGTACTTAGTACCGACTGAGTAAGTCGCTTCTTGGGGCTGCCTTGAGATTCTGTAATGAATGGCGCGACGTGAGGACACATGGTGTAGATTCATGGGAATTCTTATGAGATATATGGAGCTGGGATGACATGAAAGATATGCAGAGGCAGCAGATAAGTAGCATGTGCAGAGAATTGGGTTAGTCTACTTTCCATACGTATGTATCTAGATTTCCAATCTGTCCCATCCTAAAAGCTCAAGCCCAATAAACAAAGTGTCAGAGCATTTTTCACTTCCAGACGAATATCCTAGAACCCTAAAGGACAGCCCAACTGGGTTGGCCTTGTGTCTTAGGGAGTGGAGCTTGGCGGGCAAGCAGTGAAAAATCTGGGCGAATGTAAAACATCAAACGGCTGATGGGACTGATTTGAGGATATCTATACACCTTTTGCATTTTCAAAAGCCATACAGAAACACTAAACAATAAAGTCTGGGTGGGTAGTGGCCATGCAATCCCAGCCTTTCTCAGGGTGGGGGGGGGGATGTCTTATTTGGATGCAGCCATTCTGGCTCATGCTGGGGTTTGGAACTGAACCTTGGTCACTCTGATGGATGACCTTTCTTGGGAGATAGGAGGAATGGGACCCTCTTGATTCTCTTGGGTCTCTCAATGGCTTTCAGCGCCATATCCTTCTGTACCAGCAGGGTGAGATCATGTGGCGCCAGGCATACTTTCCTTAAAACCCCCTCTTCCATTTAACTCAGATAATACAGCTTGTCAGAGTAACCAAACCCTGGGGTAACAGGCCACAGGAAGGCTTCGTATCATGCCTGTGGGTATGTATCTGGGGGCACATAGAGCATCCTAATGAGATGGTGTAGCATGTTTATGGTATGCATAAGTTGCATATATTTACGCCCTGACCTGGATAGTCCGGGCTAGCACAATCTCGTCAGATCTTAGGAGCTAAGCAGGGTCGGCCTTGATTAGTACTCGGATGGGAGGCCACCAAGGAAGTCCAGAGTCGTTACACAGAGGCAGGCAATGGCTAATCACCCCTGAACGTCTCTTGCCTTGAAAACCCTCCGGGGTTGCCATAAGTTGGCTGCAACCCGACAGCACTTTCCACCACCAAGTTTGTATACCTGCACGCCTTTATGTAAGATTTGCCATTTAAAAGACTGTAGAACTTTGACAGCTCTGATGACCAGATAATGGAATGGAATGATCTGGACTAAGCAGCCACACACAAGCAGAGGGAAGGGGTTAAGTCCAATGTTCCCTCTAAGCTGTGGAATCTTGTGAGCAGAAATTCCACTTTGTGAGCTACTGGCATTAAAGCTGCGAGTGAGCGATTGGGCTCCTGCATAAATTAGCCTGCTCTGGAGCCACCCTTCCTGAGCTAAGACAAAAAAACTGTGAGCTGGAGGCTAAAAAACTGTGAGCTAGCTCACACTAACTCAGCTTAGAGGGAACACTGGTTAAGTACTACTTCTAGCTGAAAATTAAACCAGTGGGGGAAGTTGCCCTCAGGTTTAAATTTTTTGATAAAGCCCCCCGCCCCCCAATGGTTGCTCTCTGC